TCATGCTTACCTCAATGGACTTTCTTAGTGTGGTGTTGTCCTTGGAGAGACTAGTTAGAGAGAGAATAGTATACATATACTTTTGTTGCATAGAAAATCTGAACCGATTCCAATCATAGATCAATGGTCTGATTAGTCTTGCCCGCCCCTCCACAGGTAGGGAAGGGCAGGATGAAACTATGTTCCGATAAAATCTGGAATTTTTTAATTTGTTCAAAAATGGGCCCAAAGTCCCTGTATTATAAGTCAAAAAAGTATGGCTGCAATTGGTTCATGGTTTTATGTGCATGTATATAGCTACTGTATAAAAGCAGTTAAAACAATGCATGTCATGTATAAAAACCAGGAGGCTATAAAGTCTGGTCCCTATATACCACTACTAGGAGACCAGAGTGACCTTCTCCCTTTCCTATTGACTGCAGTCAGTAAAGTCTTCAAGATTATTTCATTTTTAATGACAAACATCTTAACTTTTACTAAACTCAACTAATACAGATACATGCACATCTTCACATAAATTTGGAACCTTAAAAATTAAAATTTTAATTAGAATTTCTATACAACATATTTTGTATAATTAATTATAAAAAGGTGTGTGCATGTGATGGTGGCTCATTTAGCAGTGCTGCACAGCAGTAGTTGTAGAACTGGCAATGACAGTTCAAATCGTCATAAATACATGCAATCAAAATTTAAAAGAATTATTTTTCAAAAAAATAAAACTAGTATATAAATCTCTAGCTTCAGTCTTGAGAATCCACTTCACATTTCATTTTTAATGCAGCTTGAACCTATCAATGATAATATTAAATTCCTTACACAAGCTTACTGTTATTATTGTTATTCTTCTTTTTGTATGTAGTGCTCTTAGCATCACTAGCAGTAGTAACCACTAGTGATCCCAGGCAGCGCCACGTGGAGGCGGCACTACATTGCTGCCCAAAAATAAAAACAACCTGAGGCCCTAGTCAAGCGGCTGACACTCGCAGGCCGCATGACTACTGAGGCCCCAGGTCGTAAAAAATAATAAAGAATAATAATAAATAATAAAGAATAATAATAAATAATAAAAATAACAAATTATAAACGATAATAATAATTAAATAATAATAAATCATAAAACCTAGATCTATAACCTATATCTACACTATATAACCTATATCCTATAACAACCTGTTTCCTAATTTCTATACTATAACTACCTTCTACTTTCTACTATATAACACCTACACCATAACCTAATATAACTATACCTACCTCCTAATTTCTACTACAATACCTATACTATACCTATAACTAGTACCTTCTCACTTCTACACATAACCTATATCCTAGGTATCACTACATGTTTCCTATAATTATTTATTACACTACACTGTATAACCTGTATACCTAACACTACACGTTTCCTAATTTCTACTACTAAACCTATACTATATAACCAGTACCCTTCTAATTCCTACTGCTACC